ACCCCCCCCCCCCATGCCTTGCTCCCCATGAGCAGCTGCCCTGCTGCCCACCCCCTCTGTGTCCCAGAAGCGGTGCCCACCACCCTGTCCCAACCATCTGCTCCTCCACGAGGGCCACTCAGCCCAGAGGCTGAGTCCTCCTGCCCCCGGGGTGCAATCACCAGTCAGCACAGCTCCCTTTGCCCTCTCCCAGCCTGGGGAGTGAGCGGATCCAGGCAACCTCAGGCCGGTGGGGTTTCCCTTGCCCTGCATTTCCCTGTGTCTGCCCTTGCAGGTCACCACGGAGGTGGAGCTGGTCTACGTGATGAATTACCTCCCCATATACGTAGGCAGCGGCGTAGGGGGGCTGCTCCTATTTATCCTGATCATCGTCGGCCTGTACAAGGTGAGACGGGCAGGGGCTGGCTGGGTCACTCAGGGCTGGTGCAAAAAGCCAATAAAATCGCCCCGTCTTTTCTCCAGCAACATCTCCCTCCACGGGACCCCCAAAGCCCCGTGGAGACATGGCAGGAATCACATCACAACCTGAGCACACGGGCGGAAATGCAGCCACCTCTGGGGTGGAGTATGAGCATAAGGGGGCTGTTTCTACACTGACCCCCTTCCCAGCTGTGAGATGCTTCCACCACTAGGGTGCCAACAGCAAATGGGAAAAGAATCCCACGTCCAGCTGAAACCACAGGCAGGACCTGGCTGGCTCAGAGAGGAGCGAGTGGCATCACAACCTGAGCACACGGGCGGAAATGCAGCCACCTCTGGGGTGGAGTATGAGCATAAGGGGGCTGTTTCTACACTGACCCCCTTCCCAGCTGTGAGATGCTTCCACCACTAGGGTGCCAACAGCAAATGGGAAAAGAATCCCACGTCCAGCTGAAACCACAGGCAGGACCTGGCTGGCTCAGAGAGGAGCGAGTGGGACATGGCCCTGATTCAGCCTCAGCATGGGTCAGAGTCAAGCTCCTCTCGTCCCCCTGCCAATCAGGGCTGGTTTTTTTTCCTTTTCCTGGCAGTGCGGCTTCTTCAAGCGGAATTACAAGGAGAGGCTAGACTATGGCAATGGGGTGGGGCCTGCAGGGGCCAGCCCGGAGGCAGAGCCGAAGGCGGATGGAGAGCAAAAGGAGGCTCTCACCACAGACGCTCCTAGCGAATGACCAGATCCTTCCTGCCCCCCGACTGTGGATCCAAGGCCTCCTCCTCGTCACCCCACCCCCACCTGTTCAGAGGAGCCACGTACCCCACACTCAGCGGGGACCCTGCCCTCGCCAGCATCCCCCAGCGGCCCAAAGGAGCATCGCAGCAGCTGGGCCTTTTCAGACCCGTGTCTCCCTCCGGCCTCCTGAGGGGAGCGGTCCTACCTTGCTGGGGTAGAACAGGCACCCCCAAAGTCTGAACCCTCCCACCTTGACGGCCTCCACAGCACAGAGAGAGGGGCTGGGCAGGCCACCGGTGCCAATCTCCACTCTCCCCAGAGCAACGCGAGGACCAGGGCAGGGCGTGCCGGGGAGCTCCCACAGCACTGAGCCAGCTTGGCAAAGGACGTCATTTCGCCCGGCCTGCCCAGCCCCGTGCTCCTCCTCGGCAGCCAGTCCGTCCGCCTCAGCAACCAAGAGGGAAAACAATCCGGAGAGGTGACAGATACCGAGGCGGGCGGCACTTCCTGGGATGCCCGACGTGGAATGTAATAAACTGACTGCGGAGCCAGATCAGCAGAAACCGATGACGGAGCCGACGGCTTTAATAGCGTTCGCCCGGCCTGCCCAGCCCCGTGCTCCTCCTCGGCAGCCAGTCCGTCCGCCTCAGCAACCAAGAGGGAAAACAATCCGGAGAGGTGACAGATACCGAGGCGGGCGGCACTTCCTGGGATGCCCGACGTGGAATGTAATAAACTGACTGCGGAGCCAGATCAGCAGAAACCGATGACGGAGCCGACGGCTTTAATAGCGGCTGGTTACTATGCAGCGAGGCCCTGACCCTCCCATAGTGCCCTCGCCCTCTCTGGAGCCGACAACAATGCATGTCTGGCTATTGGTCGCGGCCCGCCCCGCGCTCTGGCCATTTTGCATCACAGCCCAAAAGGGGATTTTACCTCTGCACTTGGCAATGCGGCGACCGCAGCCGGGATCCCGCGTCCCGCGCTGGTGCCCACAAGGATGTCGAGAGGGTTCGAAGAAGAGCCGCGAGAACGACTGATCACACGTCTGAGAGCAAGAAACTCCAGGGACTCGAGCTCCTTAGCGTCACAAAGGGAGGGATACGGGGAGGCTAGCTCACAGGCTAGGAGCGAGGGATGAACATCTGTCAGTGGGCAGAGCTAGCAGAAGGAATAGGGACACATTCCCACGGGAGCGTTGGAACCGGGGGGGTAATTAACCACTGGAACAATTTACCTGGGGCTGTGATGGATTCTCTACTCCAACAACTTTTTAAATCAAGGTCGGAGGGTCTTTTTAAAAAGGATCTGCTCTAATGGGACCGGGAGTGATTTGGGGGAAGCGCTCCAGCTTGGCTTTTGTGCTGCCCATGGCCTTCCCCGCCCTGGGGATGAGACAGAGCAGCCTCAGCCCCCTACAAACGCTTACGCCTCACGGGCCTGGGGGGCAGCGTTCACCCGGGGCCGTGCACGCCTCTGCCGCCCACTCCCCCAGACACATGCCGCCCTGCCCCTCCTCCGCTGCCCGTCCCCCCCCACCCCA